TCAGCGAGGGACAATGTCGCCGCGCGCCCCGAGCCCTGAATTAACCGCGAGCGCAAGGCGCGCCCGATGGCGCCGGCAGGCGGGCGGGGTGGGTGGGGGGCCTTTGCAGAAATCGCACGTCCGACGCGGCGCAAAGGAGGCGCCGGCGGCACGGGGGGACTCTGAAACAATCTCGCGTTCGACGCGTGGCGCGCGGGGGGGGGGGGGGGCGCGACAATCTCGCGCCCGGCGGGGGCCAGGGGGCCGTGCACAACTGCCGCGCGCGACGCCGGAATGCGCCGGGAGGGGAGGGGGGCGGGCGGGGAATGGCGGCCACGCGGCGACCGCGCGGCGGGTGCTGGGGGAGAGGGGCAGGGGAAGCTCTGCAGCAATCCCACCCGACGCGCTGGGATGAAGGGGGGGCGGGTACCTTGCAATATTCTGAGGTCTTAAAACGTGCATCCATATCAATTATAACGTCGTGGCCGTCGCCGTTACGTTGGGAAAAAGTCGGAACGTGAAGTGTATCAACTATGGCGTTGGGAGTTGCGTTGATGATTCTAGAGCCCACTGATTTGGGCATCAATTCTTCCGTCGCGAGCCGACTCGAAAATCGACGCCGAGATCGACACCGAAATCGGCACTTCTTCTACTGAGTTTGTATAAACTGGGGCATCAAAACTGACGTTGGGTATAAATTTGGGCATCAATATAGGCGTCAAAACTGACGTTGGGAACCGACTCTGAAATCGAGACCGAAGCCGACACATCTACTGAGGTTTGCATCAATTTAGGCATCAGCATTGACGCTGGGAGTCGGCTCTGATATCGAGAGCGAAATCGACACCGAAATCGACTTCTACTGAGTTTGTATCAATTTGGGCATCGAAACTGGCGTTGGATATCGATTCGAGCATCAAAATTGGCATCAACATTGACGTCGGGAACCGACTCTGGCAGCGAGACCGAAATCGGCACTTCTACTGATATTGTATCACTTTGAGCATCCAATTTGACGTTGGGCATCAGTTTGAGCATCGAAATTGGCATCAAAACCCGACTCTGAAAAATCGAAAGTGACATCGAAAACGAAATAGACACTTCTACTGAGTTTGTATCCATTTGGGCATCGAAATGGACGTTGGAATTTCTGTTGGGCAAACCGCTGCGATCGTCGATCGCATCAAAACGGACGCGGAAAAGCGCGCCGACCGGTGGAGTCGGGAGTCGCGTCGGGAGTCGCCACGGACGTCGCGGCAGGAAGGGGCCTTGGAGAACGCGCGGGGATATCAAACGGACGTCGACGTCGGAAGCGCACGGCAGCCGCCACGGGAGAGATGGGGCCAATCGGGAACGGCGCCGAACATGAAAGCGCGCGGCCAATGACCGCGAGGGCGATGGAAGCGCGAAGAACAACAGGCGAAACGGATGCTCAGCGGCGTCGCTGGCCGCTGGCCCTCCCCCACGACCCCGCTTTGGGCGTTCGCAATGCGCCCGACAAATCTTGCGCAATATTCGAAGCTCTTGAACTCGGAGGAAGGTCCGAAGGCGGCCGGTGGAGGCCTCTGCCGGGCACCTCTCCATTGAGCGCGTCCGCCCTCGGCCTCGCGCCTGCGGCCCCGCCGCTGCCCCCTTCCTCAGCGCGCAGCATGCAGCGCAGCATGTTTGCGATACATCCAACAAGACATGCACTGAACTCCAAAGGTCCTGCAATCAGCCGCCAATAGCGGGCACATCGCCGAACAAAAAGCCAGCAAACAACAGCTGGGAGAGGGCGGAGGAGGGTAGGATAATTACGCAGACATTACACATGCACCAACGATCGCGCATCACCCCACTTCACAGATTGCATAACTCAGAACGCGTGACAGCGTGCGACTTTCGGCGCGCGGACACTTTGACATAATGCGACGTAATGTGCATTGCCAGTTTTGAAAATACAGACAAACGCATAAAACGATAATGCGCGTGCGGCGCATGTTCCTGTGCACGCGCTGCAAATGCTGCCATTGCGCTGCGTCGGGGCAGAGACTGCCAGGCAAAGGGGGGTGAAGAACCTAAGACTTAAGAAACTCTGACACCACGAAACAAGGAATCCATGACCCCACTACCAGAGCCCAGCGGGTCAGGATCGCCCCTGGCCCTGGGTCCAGGGCCCGGGATCTCGCGGCCCAGAGTCCGGGGCCCAATCCAGGATCCGCGGCGTCCACGGCCAGAATCCTTCTCTCTTCCTCCTTCCCCCCTCTCATCGTTCCTCGTTGGCCCGAGCCCTTCTCCTCAATAATCCTCTGACTCCCCCCTCGCGCTTCCCCCGCGCGCCCTGCGCGGTTGCTGCTTCACTGGAGAACGTGCGACTTGATTTAACACGGGTGGCGACGCTGTCGGATGCACAAGGCGCCGCGTTCAAACCTGATACTAATGACACTGTGGATATCGAGATTTAGCGCGATCAACGCGCGAGCGAACGCGGTTTTCAAGCACCGACGTTTTTGACAACGCATGGGCGGCATTGCGACACTTTTACCAACAGAACGCGCGCGCATCAACGCATTTCGCGACGAAGCCAACATTTTGGAACGATCTCCGCAACACAATAGCCAGCACAAACACAACAACTAACGCATTTTGCAGAATATGGCTTCCCGCGCAATGAAACTGAAACTTCTTGGCGCGAAAACCATCCACGCATTGACACAACGCGCGCTTCGAAAATCTACACGTCGAAACAACGCACAACACCAAAACCGGCACGTACTCCCACCGTTTGAACTCTCCATGGTTGGCGCGCAACGCCCGAGTCAGTACCATTTTGAAGATGGTTCATTCCAGGGTCTCCCGAAGAGGGGCAGAATCCTGGCCGCGCCAGCGGGCCAACTTGATAGGCTCCCCGTATTCTACCCGATCCAAGCAAACCCGTTTCCCACTCAACTCCGCGGCCAAGTGGGGGGGCCGGCGGTGGCCCCATCGCCCCGCGCGCGGATGACTTCCTTGAAAGATCGTCATCCAATGGCCTGGCGCCCAGACCCCACCAATGCAGCTCCAATAGGAAGACGTGGTCTTCCTGAACCAGTCCCGAAAGAGTGGGGAACGGGCGAATCTCCGACGCAGCCAACATAGGCCGGGGGCGGACCCCCCAATCGGTGTGGCAGACGAAAAGGGCGAAGCCCATGAGGACCGCGCGAGGCTTGCCGGGGGAATGCGATCCGCCCCTTTGCCTGGCCCCACCGTTCCCCCAAGATGAAGGTCCAGAAATGCTTAACGGCTATCCTGGGCGTGCGAGCCTCCTGGACTTCAATACGACTTTCGTCCGCCTTCCAGCGAACAAGATGTTTTCCCACCTGTCCTCACCGAGTCCTTCCTCCGATTCCGCGTCGATGTCCTCTGGCTGAACCCGCTGGAGCCACGCGTGGAGGTGCCTTTTTCACTTCCCTGTCCAAGGCCAGGGAGGCCCCTCCTCGCCCGTTTCCGTCGGCTCGGCCTCCGCGTGGCTGGCCTCGGGGGGAGTTTGGAAAAAGCGGCGGGCCAGCTTGCTGTGACCTCCGCGCTAGGAGCCAGGAGGCTCACTGGCGTTCCCCGTCGGGACTGGAGGGCTGCCGCCGGGCTCGGCTTGCGGCGTCCACTTCCTTTTCGCCCTGGAGAAGGTTTATCCCCTCCTCCTCCTCCTCGTCCTCCTTCGAAGCATTCCGCCTGAGGCGCCGCGAACGTTTCACTCCCGCTTCCGGCCTGCTTTCCGAAGCGCCCTGGGCGGTGCGCGAGGCGAGGGGCCCCTCCTCCCCGAATCTGGTCTGCGGGCGGCAGCACCCCGCGTAGGAAATGTTGGGCCTCCTGCAAGGAACGACCTGGGGAATTCTCCGCGCCCCTCTCTCGAATGTTGGAGCGCGCCGGATTGGCCCTGACCCGCTCCGGATGACCCCTTCACACGCGGGGCGCCCTCGAGGGCCCGCTTAAGCTTAGGGCCATTGCGGTGCTGCTTCGCGCCGCGCGGCTGGCGCGATGGCCGCCACGGGGCCTGGTGCTCCGACAGCCTCCCCAGCTGAGCGCGCCGATGCCTGGTGGAGCGAATGAGCCATGAGTTTCACTTCCCTGGCTTCCTCCTCCGCATGTGGGGGTGCCCAGGGGATGCCCCACCCGAGTTGGGCAGATCCATGGCCAGGCAGTGCGCGGGGCCCTCCGTCCCCAGCGCGATGGGGCCCTCCGTGCCCGACGCCCAGGCCTGGGCTCAGCCTTTCCCCAATTGACATGAGGCCCGCGAGCACGGGAACGAGGTCGATCACGAGGACGGCCACCATGATGGGGTCAGGGGAAGACCCCATGCGCAAAAACGGGCAACCTGCTCGAGCACAAAAGGATATACCATTGCAGGGAGAGAGGGGAACGTGGTAAGGAAAGCTAGGCAACGGGCTGTTACTGTTCTCTGTGTCTCTTTCTCTCTCTCTCTCTCTCTTTCTCTGTCGTTCCCTCTCTCTTCTTCTTTCTCTGTTTATCCCTGCTGATCCTCCTGGAAATGAACGGAGACAACAACAATGGCTGGGAGGCTGCCGAGCAATACATGCACCTTCCTTCTACGCTTCCTCTCTGCATCCACCTACTAGTCTTTGCCCTCGTTCTCATCCTGCTCCCGCATCGCCTCCTCTTCTTCCTCGATCGTCTCATCGCCCTCCATTTCCCCCTCACGCTTGTCCCTTGCCTCTCCGTTTCAATCCGATCACTCCTTCTCCCGCTCTCACTTCGCTGCCTCTCCTCCCTTTGCCCGCTCCTTCCAAACGCCAGAATCAAACCATGACCACTGACGGTGCAAGAAGCCCCGAGATCCGACGCCGTGAAAAAACAACGCCATGAAAACAACACCCAAAAAACGACTGGAACCTCAACTCTTCTCAACTCCATCGTTCTGTGAGGTCTCCAGAGCTGGGCCATTCCGTGAGTGCCCGATAGGCCCTCATCGAGGCGAGCGCGCCCGTCGCGTGTTTCTTCACGACGCCCAGACCCGAAAGATCGATGTTCGGAGCTGGCGGAGGTACCCGTCGGTGGCATCCGCATCCGCAGACTGCCTTCGCCACACGGCGGGGGGAGCGAGCAAACGCGAACTTGCACAAGAGCAGCTGGCGGCACGCGACAAATCTCCTCGTCCTCCCGTTTCCTCCGCCTCTTCCTGCTCCGCGCCCTCTGCTTGTTGTTTGGGGGAGAGGAGGGCGGCCGGGGAGCCTGGCTGCTGCGGTCCTGGGCAGAGGTCGATTCAGCCGATGACCCCTGACACAAATCTCTTGCCGAGGCCGCTGGCCCTGCGCAGCCCCCTCGTTTGTTTCCCCCTCCTGCTTCCCCGCCTCCTATTCCTCCGCAACAGCATCTGCAGACTCCTCGTCCCCCTCCGCGTCAGCCCCTTCCTCAAACTCATCTCCTTGGTACTCTGCTGCAGAATAGAAAAGCAGTCGGCCCCCGACCGAGTACATACTGCCCTACCTACCGACCTACACATCCATACACTTACGCACCGATTTACCTACCGACCTACTTCCCCACCTACGCACACCGGCCGACCGACCGATCGACCGATCGACCCCACGACCAACCCACTTATTTGTTGTTCAGACTTCGTGAACTGGAACACAGCGTTCCAAACCACACCTACGTTTTCCTCCTCTTCCTCCTCTTCCTCCTCCTCCTCCTCCACCTCAAGGCACCTGTGCCACTGGGACCCCTTCCCAGAAAAACATGCGGGTAGCAGCCCGATCGTCACCCTTGTTTGCTCGTAGGGGGCCAAGGGGAGAGAAAATTGCTCCTCGTCGCCGCGGCCACCCACGGAGTGGGTGGTGGTTAGGCTGGGCGCCGGAGCACGGCCTCCGGCGCCCCCTACCCCGAGCAGGGCGCGCGGAGCACGGCCTCCTTGCGTGCCCTGTCTCGCGCGCCGTTCGCGGAGCACGTGCTCCTCCTGGTCCTGGCCACGCGGGCACGTGCCCCGTCGGTTGGCCCGCAGGACCTGCGCCTGTGGGCTAAAGCGGACGGCCACGGGGGCAAGGCCCTGTCGCGTGGCCCGCATCTCGGTGCGGGCAGCACCGCATGTATGACCAGTCCTGTGCGGTGCTCGTCTGTTTCAAGTGCCGTGCTAGACGGCTGCCTGGCTGGCTGCCAGGAGGACCGCAAAGAATCGGGACAGAGCAGTGCAGCGGAAAAATCCTCCTCCACCTCCACTTTCTGTTCCTCCTCCTCCTCTTCCTCCTCCCCCTCCTCCTCCTCCTCCTCTTCCTCCTCCTCCTCTCCTCCCTCTTCCTCCTCCTTCCTGCTGCTCCTCCTCCTCCTCCTCCTCCTCCTCCTCCCAACTCCCTCCTCCCTCCTCCCTCCTCCCTCCTTCCCCCTCCATCCTCCCCTCCCTCCTCCTCCTCCCTCCTCCTCGCCTCGCTCCTCCTCCCTCCGCCCCATCCTTCCTTCCCCCCCCCTCGTCCCTCCTCCTCCTCCTTCCTGCTCGCTATTCCGTTTCCCTCCTCCTTCTCCCCCTCCCCTCCTCCTCCCCCTCCCTCCTCCTCCTCCTCCCTCCTCCCCCTCCTCCCTCCTTCGCCTTCCCCCCCTCCCCCCCCCCCCCCCCCCCCCCCCCCCTCCCGCCCTCCTCCCTCCTGCCTTTCAGCCCATTCGGCCCCAATGCCTGGATCCCCTACAGTACAAGAGCGCGAACATCCAGAGCGCAAGATGGTGAGCCATGGTCGGCAGCGCACCGCAGCTCTCTGTACTACCCCCTACCCCACAGCGCTCCTACCTGGCCCCAGGGCACCCACGGGCAGGCCATTCTCGCCCGTCGCTGCCTGAAGCAGCGCGCGCGCGACCAAGAGCCTGCAGAGACACAAAAAATGCGAACGAGCTGGGGAGGCAGAAGAAAGCAAGACAGCCGGGGGGGCACGCCTCGCTGTCGACAACCAGTTTTTCAGGCCGCGCCCGCACCGCAAGGCTCAGGTAACGACACCCCCCGTGCCGTCGCAAGCCAACCGAACGGCGCCACCCCCCCCAGCCGACCCCCGCCCCCACGCACACACTGGGCGGGGCACCCAGGGCCGTGGGAAAAATGGTTGGGGATCCCCCGATGAGCCGCCCGCAGGCGACCCGCGTCCCCGCCCGAGCCCTAGCGGGGTACCAGGCGGGCCACCGCAGGGGGGACGCAACGTGGCAACGAGAATGCACTGTTTTCTCCCACTGTCCCACTACGGGTAAACAGGGGCGACGAACGGGCTGCAACCCACCTGTTTTCCTGGAGCACCCGATGGCACCCAGCCATACTCCCTACTCTCCCTCCTCCTCCTCCTCCTCCTCCTCCTCCTCCTCCTCCTCCTCCTCCTCCCAACTCCCTCCTCCTCCATCTCTTCAGTTCCCTCCTCCCTCCTGCTCCACCTCCTCCGTCGTCGGGCCAGTGCGGTGTTCATGTGCACTGCTACGGCGGCCAAACCGTACAGCCTGGGATCCCGTTTGCACCGCGCGGTCATGCGGTGTACTGCCGATGATCCCATGTGGGATCCCCGTCCCCTTCCCCTCTTTGGCTCGTTGGGGCTATCGCTGTAATGGCTTGAGCCAGGAGGTCCCTCCACCCCCTTTCCCTTCGGACCCTCAGAAAGGAAGGCGGCACGGCCCCTTGGGTTCATACGCCCAGGGGGGACTTTGTGCGCACCATTGGTCGAAGAGTGGCCCGCCCTTGCCCCCCCCCCCTCCAACCCCACCCAGGTCCTCGCAGCCAAGGTTGGCCCTGTTGCGTTGGGTCCTTTGTCCCAACAAGATGCCATTCGCCCCTGATGGGAGTTGCGAACTGCGCTGGGGGTTCGAAGGTAGACGTTCTTATGGCGCTGGGCAACGTTTCGTTTCTTGTGGGCGGGGTGGGCTGTCGATTCATTTAGCGGGTTTCCCCCTCAAGCGCGTTCAAGTTACGGTGTTCCCCCTGGCGCGACTAGGTGTTAGCCTGCTGAACAAAAGGGTCGGATGCCGGTCCCAACTAATGCCTGCGACCCCATCGTGCACGAACGCCCCCGCGTTGGTGCGCGCCGCTGATGCGGAAACGGAATTGCGCCTCGATTGACGCTGTAACCGCAATAGCCCATTTCGAGCCTTCATTCGTTCATTCATTCATTCATTCCTCCTCCTCGTCCTCCGCCTCCATCCCTTTGTCCTTCTGGACAACTCCTCCCGGTCTCAGCTTGAGGCCAATCGGAAGGGCGGGCTGGGCGTTTCCCCTGAGAGTTCCGTACCACGAATGATCGTGAAGCTGAAGAATTTGCAACAACTTCCCTAATGGAGGGCGGGTGGCTTTCAACATGCGGCTCTCGCTTCAGCGCCGCGCACATTCGTTTACAAAACGAATGAGCTTCACGGATCGAGGGCGGGCGATTTCCGAACTGTAGTTCTCGCCTTAGCGCCGCGCACACTCGTATTAGAAACGCGAGAGGGTGTCACGGATTGAGGGCGGGCCGTGTTCAAAATGTGGCTCTCGCCGTTGCGCAACACACATTCGTATTGAAAAACAATCAAGAGTTTCACGGATTGAGGGCGGCTCGGTTCCAACATGTAGTTTTCGCCTGAGGGCCGCGCAAATTCGCATTTGAATGTCAAGATATACACGGAGTGAGAGCGTGTCGTTTTCAAAGTGTTGCGTTCGCATGGGCGCCGCGCACACACGCATTAAGAACGGCAAAGGCTTCACGGATTGAGGGCGGGTTGTTTTAAAAAATGGGGCTCTCGGATTCGCGCCGCGCACATTCGTCTCGAACATGTGCAACAGCTGCCTGGATTCCCATGACTAACGTACCAACCACTGTGTTTGGAACGATTCTGGATTTTCAGGGCGCAACAGTTACGCTGATTCGCGGTGCTTAGAGCCCAGCAACTGCGCGTGACACGATTCAAGATCGTCGAAACGCAACTGTTAATTTGTTTCGTTGAACTCCCGAGACTGGCGTTCTGGAACGCTTCAGGATTTTCAGGCGGTTGTCTCCCAACGAGGTCTCACCACCCGTCGACATCTTCATCAAAGGGGACACATTTTCAGGCCTCGTTCTCGGCAAGATGGCCAACCCGGACGACCTCCAGACAGTCGTGCACAAGTTCCGGACCACATCCATCACGTGCTCTGGAAAAAGGGTGTGGGCGAATCAAGACCAATCTGTCCATGTACGTGTCCCTCATCGTTTTCTTTTTGGCTTCAAGAAGTTGCTCACCAATTGGGGTTTCAATTCTAAAGCTATCAAAGTTGATGATATGGCTCTTACTTTGAAGATCGGTGCTGACACGATTCTGTCTACAACCTGCTCGGGGAAGAACTTGGCAATTACGTGGTTGAGCGAGGAGTGGAAGAATTGGGGGTATCTTCACAACGACGATGATTACAAAGCGCTTTACGATAAGTGCCAGAAGTCTTTAGAGGCGGTTGGGAACAAAGGCAAAGGTAAAGAGAAGCCTCTGGCAAAATAGGGACAGCACCGGTCAAACCACGTTTCACCCCCTACCTTGACAGGGGATTTGCATGTGTATAGCAAGAATGCGCGATTACGAACGAATGCGCAAATAGTTGAATTAATTGCTGAATTGACAGATGTGGGGTGGGATATCATAATGTTCAGCGAGACCAGGGCGACATCAACAGAACTTACATGGGAAGTGGGCATAATTCCCAACCATCCTGTGGTGTTGGGTCCTCGTTTTGAAGAGACGGTGCCCCGCGTTTTCCTTCCTTCCTTCCTTCCTTCCTTCCTCCCGCTGCCTCCTCCCCCCTCCCATCATCATCATCATCATCATCATCATCATCATCATCATCAATCACCCAATTCGGCACACCCCTCACACGTTTCGTGGCTCCATAGGGAGCTGAAGGCCCCAGTAGGGAGGGCACACGATAGGCCCACCGAGGCCCCAGTGCCCGCGCCCGCATGCGTCACCCACACCCATTTCGGCACACCCCTCACACGCGTGGCTCCATAGGGAGCTCCACCGAAGGCCCCAGTGCCCGCGGCCGCATGCGTCACCCACACCCATTTCGGCACACCCCTCACACGTTTCGTGGCTCCATAGGGAGCTCCACCGAAGG